GACCTCCCCTGGAGTGCAGGATAAGTATTCCCGTAGGTGGAAGTTGAAATATTTCTGCACTGGGTCTTCCGCCAGACGTTCCCAGAAAACCCGCGCTATTCGTTTGGGCCTGCCACATCTATCTGGTCGGTGTCTCAAGCGTCGGATCCAACTACCACCAGGTGGTGATCTGTTGACAGATCTGCCCCTCTCTTCACCCAGGTGTCCAGAACATATGGCCTTAGGTCCGATGATACAACTAAAAAGGGAATCATTGACCTTCAGCTCAAGGTGCTCTGGCTACCAAGTACGCTTATGAGCATCCTTGTGTTCCAACATGGTGTTAGTTCTTGACATTCTGTGACTAGCGCGTGAGTAGGCGGCACTCTGTAGAGCAGTGCACCCACCGTCTCCAAGAAGGCCGAATACTCTGAACTGCTGTTTGGTGCATAAGCACAGACAACAGTCAGAGTTTTCCATTCTGAGACCTGAAGTCTCATTGAGGCGACCCTCTCATCCACTGAGACAAACTCCAACTGAACAGCACCCAGCCGGGGGCTTGCGAGTATCCCCACATCCGCCCAGGGCTTCTCACCATGGGTTACTCTGGAATAGGAGAGACCTCCCCCGATCGAGAAGTTTCATTTCAGTGCCAAAGCTGTGTGTGGAGGCGAGACCGACTCTATCTAGTTGGTACCTTTCCACCTCCTCCACCAGCTCTGGCTTCTTCCCCCCAAGTACGTGACATTCCACGTCCCAATAGCTGGTGTCCATTGCCAAGGTCCAGTCAGTGTGAGACCATCCCTCTCCCTGCAATACTAGCATCGCACCCGTCCTTCGTCTCGCGCATGGTGGGTCCACATGACTGCACCACGCAGCCATTTTCGGGCTGGGCCCGACCAGGTTACGTGGGTCACCAGGCCACCAGGTGCTTGCCGGCGAACACCACCCCCAGGCCTGGCTCCAGGGGTGTGTCCCGGTATCAATGAAGATGTATATTACATTATTATTCCCTTCTTGAGATATAGCTAGCACTGTGGATTGGATCCATGGAGCCTATAGTCATATACAGTGAGGAAAAAAAGTATTTGATTCCCTGCTGATTTTGTACGTTTGCCCACTGACAAAGAAATGATCAGTCTATAATTTTAATGGTAGGTTTATTTGAACAGTGAGAGACAGAATAAGAACAACAAAATCCAGAAAAACGCATGTCAAAAATGTTATAAATTGATTTGCATTTTAATGAGGGAAATAAGTATTTGACCCCTCTGCTAAACATGACTTAGTACTTCGTGGCAAAACCCTTGTTGGCAATCACAGAGGTCAGACGTTTCTTGTAGTTGGCCACCAGGTTTGCACACATCTCAGGAGGGATTTTGTCCCACTCCTCTTTGCAGATCTTCTCCAAGTGATTAAGGTTGAGGCTGACGTTTGGCAACTCGAACCTTCAGCTCCCTCCACAGATTTTCTATGGAATTAAGGTCTGGAGACTGGGTAGGCCACCCCCAGGACCTTAATGTGCTTCTTCTTGAGCCACTCCTTTGTTGCCTTGGCCGTGTATTTTGGGTCATTGTCATGCTGGAATACCCATCCACGACCCATTTTCAATGCCCTGGCTGAGGGAAGGAGGTTCTCACCCAAGATTTGACGGTACATGGCCCCGTCCATCGTCCCTTTGATGCGGTGAAGTTGTCCTGTCCCCTTAGCAGAAAAACACCCCCAAAGCATAATGTTTCCACCTCCATGTTTGACGGTGGGGATGGTGTTCTTGGGGTCATAGGCAGCATTCCTCCTCCTCCAAACACGGCGAGTTCAGTTGATGCCAAAGAGCTCCATTTTGGTCTCATCTGACCACAACACTTTCACCCAGTTGTCCTCTGAATCATTCAGATGTTCATTGGCAAAACTTCAGACGGGCATGTAAATGTGCTTCTTGAGCAGGGGGACCTTGCGGGCGCTGCAGGATTTCAGTCTTTCACGGCGTACTGTGTTACCAATTGTTTTCTTGGTGACTATGGTCCCAGCTGCCTTGAGATCATTGACAAGATCCTCCCGTGTAGTTCTGGGCTGATTCCTCACCATTCTCATGATCATTGCAACTCCACGAGGTGAGATCTTGCATGGAGCCCCAGGCCGAGGGAGATTGACAGTTCTTTTGTGATTCTTCCATTTGCGAATAATCGCACCAACTGTTGTCACCTTCTCACCAAGCTGCTTGGCAATGGACTTGTAGCCCATTCCAGCCGTGTGTAGGTCTAAAATCTTGTCCCTGACATCCTTGGAGAGCTCTTTGGTCTTGGCCATGGTGGAGAGTTTGGAATATTGATTGATTGCTTATGTGGACAGGTGTCTTTTATACAGGTAACAAGCTGAGATTATGAGCACTCCCTTTAAGAGTGTGCTCCTAATCCCAGCTCGTTACCTGTATAAAAGACACCTGGGAGCCAGAAACATTCTGATTGAGAGGGGGTCAAATACTTATTTCCCTCATTAATATGCAAATCATTCATAACATTTTTGACATGCGTTTTTCTGGATTTTTTGTTGTTATTCTGTCTCTCACTGTTCAAATAAACCTACCATTAAAATTATAGACTGATCATTTCTTTGTCAGTGGGCAAACGCACAAAATCAGCAGGGGATCAAATGCTTTTTTCCCTCACTATATTTTAGAATGGGAATGAAGGCTGTGGTGAGGTAGGAAATACTCAGCCAACCTAATCCACCTGCTGCAGCTATACATGCCGACTCAAAGGATTCTCAAGGATGTAGTATGACCCACACTTCCATAGCACACATTGCCATAAGACACAATGGTCGATTCCCATATTTTATGCAAGACCCCTTGTATGATGTATGAAAAGCAACAATTCAACTCCCCTGCCCAACGTGCAGATTTGTACTTGTACAGTCAAGAGGGACTAAGATTAGGAAATGAAAATATGGAATTCTGGCCATAGCAGAACTTGTTAAGCCGACCACTTTTCCTGAAAAAGGAATAGATGTCTTGCCACAGCATGTGAGCCAAGTGACATGTGTGCCCAAGTGTGTCTAATGCTACAAAACCCCTGCATTGAAAAAAAACTCTGCATTTTCACGTGACAAACATGTATTGTATGTCATCTGGACCTTGTTTAAATTATTTTTACTTCGAAGGCATCAACATTCACCCAACACATTATTGCACCAAATAGGAGTTTTACAGTACTCCAAAAAAACCCTGCTTATAATTAAATGGGGCATAACAAGTTGGATCATGAACATAATTTTATCCAAAACCATGTGTTCTTAATCAATGTCGGCAGCCGCACATTCTCTAATCCTGTAGCATTTTAAACACAGTCCAGGTGATTAAATAGCCAGGACAGAAGGATTCATGTAGAAAAGGTTTAAAATTGTGCACCAACGCATGAAAGTTGAAACTTGTGAAACTGTGGCTGACCTTTATTGTCAAGAGTTTTTCTTGGTCTACATTGGCGGTCAGGCATGGATGTTAAGTCTGTGCAAGTCTACATAGAGCACTACAAATCTAGTGCTCTCACATCAAGATCTAAGACAATTTAGATGTGTTGAGAGATTGTCAGTGGTTAGACAATAAGGTAAACAAAGTAATTTTATTTAAATTTCCTGGAGAAATTAAAGATTTATGAATGCATGTATTCTCTTTGGTAAAGTCACGTAGGTAGAAAAATAATAGATCACGACGTTTTGATCGCAACACATGCAATCGCCATCAGGTGGGACAACCACAGCAAGAAAAACTGCAAGAAAAACTGCTGTTTTTCTTGCTGTGGTTGTCCAACCTGATCTATTATTTTTCTACCTACGTGACTTTACCAAAAGAACCAAACAGTATGGATTCCTGCAGTCACGAAAACTTCAAATCAATGCATGTATTATTACGTTTGACATATTTTGGCCATTTTTCCCCAACGGCATCCCAACTTATACTAAAAGCATCGTGTCATGAGGCGAGGTATCCATCCGGATCTCTCGGTAGAGCTGGAGTTTATTTAACATGATCATTTTTCTGTGTAGTCATTAATGACCGGCCTGAGACTATCAGAATCAAAAACGGCCGCCGATTCGAACCCAGAATTTCAGTGGTGGCAACTTTTGGTGCTCTCACCTCTGAGTTAACCAGCCACCTCTTTCTTTTGTTTACAGCGCCATGAGGTGGCATGTTAACCTGTACATGTTCGCAGGGGCACTGATGCAACCTCAGAGACACCCAAGAGCCACAAATTCACCACTTTCAACAAGAATGAGATGGAAAATAATTTAAATTAAGGGTTGCACAATGCTCAGTAAAAAATAATCAGCACGTTTGATGGAAGTCACTCAATTTCCCCGTTAACGTCCACCTCCAGACGAGATTGACATTAAATGCACCGATTTCCATTCAACACTTTCAAAATACTTTCTTACCATCCTGCACATTTCGCCGTACAATACACCACACAATGCGCCATTAATGCTGCTCTGAGTATAATGCATGTGGTGTGTGGACAGAATCGATAATGCCTTTGCATCGGCGTGGTTCCATTGAATCCATGGCTTCAGGAACTGGTACATACAGGCCTGCCAAGCGCTTGTGTGCTCGTGGCACTCCCACTCATGTGTTTGGCTTCGAAAGCAAACTGTCTACAAAGCTTTATACGGATACAATCCATGGTGACACCAGGGTGCACTTTGCCAATGCACATTCTAGGAAAGGCCAACGTGCCAATTTTCTTGTAAAAAAGATCAACTTTTGCCTACACTAGAGCATGCAGATTGTCATCGAGGGATACTTTTAAATGGTGTTATTTACAATGCATTTTTTTTATTTTGGATAAAACACCTTTTAAGCTTTCTTCAGATTTACTTTTTGTAAGCCAACAAGGTGCAGAAGACATTGGAGGTCCCACAACATTTCTGTAATGTGATCAGGATGAGATCGCAAATCAGTTATTAGTGGAATAAAATAATCCATGTAAAAAAGACAAACCGTGTGAATGATGACACAATCAACTCACCTGAAGGATCACCCTGCCCATTCTCACTCATGCCTTCTTTTCCAGCCATGCCGTTTTCTGCAAAATGACAAGATTCCCGTAAGATCTCAAATGAAACCGACTTCATACCTCAGGAACCTCAACAAAAACAAGTTAATTTTAACAAGGAGAAAAGGAAAAGAAAGACTCATTTTAAAAAAAAACCTAAATTCTCTGCTAACCTGCTTCCATGTCCAAAGGGACTGGGAAAGGGACGCCGCGGTGAGAAATATTTCAGCCCGCGAGCGAGTCGAAAGTGAGAGAGCACACAACAGAGCCACGGCGTAGCAGCGCGCGCCTTGGCTGCAGACGCCGCTGCTGCTGCTGCTGCTGCGAGGGCAGCGCACGTCTCCCGGCTCTGTCTCAAGGGTCAGCATGGCCGCGCAAGCATGCAAATCACGCCGAATTAAATTAACCACTCTTTTAGACGTGTTTAATGTATGCAAAAGCAACGCCCACCCCCGGCGCCACCGCCACCATCATCAGCGAGGCACGGCAGATGCCCGAGCAGAAAGCGGGCCCGCGAGCTGCCCACCGACAAAAACTCGCTTAACCCTTCCAAGGCTAATTGTGAAGCTGGGTTATGCATGATTGATAATCATGGAAGGGAAAAACAAATAATGTTTTAAATTAAATCGACAAAATAAAAACTCGTCCCAATAGCTCCATATCTGAGAGCCAATTCATGCGATGGTGAAAAACAAGGCTTCTGCTATTTTTTTTTAAAGGAAAATATCCAAATTGTGGGGAGATAAATGAGTAATAATGTTGTATTTCTACCAATTATTGTTATAAACTGCCTTTAAATCTTGACTTTAAGCTTTCGTGACAGCAGGAATTTATATTCTTTGGGTCTTTCGGTAAAGCCACGTAGATAGAAAAATAAAAAATAAAAATAATAACAATATCACGACGTTTCGATCGCAACACAAGCAATCCTCATCAGGTAAAAAATATAGCGGGAGAGCTGCTGAGGCAGGAAAAAAATATATGTCGGGAGCGCTGCTAAGGCAGGGAGTTATAAAGATTTGAGATGGGTGTAGCCCAAGGGTCAGTGGGCAGGGCTAGAGATGAAATTTGCATGTAAATGTAAGATCGGGTAAATCTTGACAAACGAAGCTGTGGGGGTGGCCATTGTATTGTGAGAGATTAGCATGTCAATGTAAGAAATTTGCTTATCAATGTAAGAGATTAGCATATCAATGTAAGAAATGTGCTTGTCAATGTAAGCTCGGAGAGAGCTCGGAAAGAGCCATCACCACATGGAGGTGGAAAAGGATGGCAAGCCGCCATTTACTAACACAGCTAACGGTGGCTGTGTTAGTAAATGTGACTCAGAGAGTCGAAAATAACTGGTCACATAGGTAGGTGGGAAGAGAACAACACAGCCAGTTATGACCTAAGCTGGTTAATAACATCATTCCAATGATCGCTCAGTTTGTACCCATCTTCTCGGTTGAAATTGTATGTGTTTATATATCTGGATGCCTTCATGAACGAATGTTGGCTGATAGCCAGTGGGTTTGCAGAGTACCTTCGTCTTGGCAAAATAAATTTTGTGTGTGCCCACAGCGTTAAAATCATGATCAGCCACGGCTGAGGTATTGGTCGTACAGTGTTTCAGATCTGCCTTATGTTCATGAACCCGGTCCGAGACACGTCGCCGAGTTTCCTCAATGTAACTGCTGCCGCAGACACAGCAGAGTTTGTAGACTCCGAGGTATTGCACGTCAGGGATCACAGATGGGATCAAATCACGAATTTTATGTACTGTGTTGAATCGTACCTGGATCTTGTGTTTGCTCATGATTTGGGAAATATTTTTGGAGACCCCTGCTATGTATGGCAAGGTGATGGTTTTGACTGGGTCCTAAGATGGTTCTTTCCCAACGGTTGGGGTGATAGCTTTACGGATTGTGTGGTCTGAATATCCATTCATCTTGAAGGCTTGGTGTACATGCTCCAGTTCACTGGCTAGGTGGTGATGGTCAGAAATACAATGAGCTCTATGGTGTAGAGTTTTGATGAAGGAATTCTTCTGGGATGGATGGTGGTGTGAGTCAGGTTTTAGGTAGGCATCCGTATGGGTGGCTTTCCATTGAGCCATCAGGTCTCTTTTCGATTAAAACATCCAAGAATGGTAACTTGCCATCCTTTTCCACTTCCATGGTGAATTTGATGGACGGGTGTATGGAATTGATGTGGTTGAAGAAATGGTCCAGAGCTGGTAGACCATGTGGCCAGATGACGAACGTATCATCTTCGTATCTCTTCCACAAGGAAGGATGTAGGGTGTATACCTGGATGGCATCTGTCTCAAATTTCTTCATGAAAACATTGGCTACAACTGGAGATAAGGGGGAAAACCCATTGGGGTACCTTCAACTTCTTTGTAGAATGTTCAATTCGAGGTGAAGTAAGTGTTGGTGAGGCAGTGTCTCACTAGGGCCGGTACATCAGCATTCAGTCCTTGTTGGACCAAATCTTCAATGATTGCAATGGTGTCAGGCACAAGAACTTTGGTAAACAAAGATACCACATCGAAACTAAAAAGCAAATCATCTGGAGATAGTGAGATGTCCTTAATTGAAGATATCAAGTGAGCTGAGTTAAGTACAGCTGAGGTGGTCTTACCAGTGAATGGTTGCAAGGTCTCAGACAGAAATCGGGCCAGTTTATAGGTGGGTGAGTCAATGGTGGAGACGATAGGACGAAGTGGTGTACCTTCCTAATGGATTTTTGGTAAGCCATCAAATCTGGGTGGTCTAGCAGCAGAGGGTTTTAAGGAAAGCCGCTTGGTTGGTTCGATCAAAGATGTCGAATCAGTGATGATGTTGTTGGTTTTCGTAACCAGGCGGTTGGTAGGATGTCTCTTGATTTTGGTTTAGCTGCCATCACTAAGTAGGATGCACAAAGGTTTTGTTGCTTTTTACATATTTGTGCACAAAAGCCATTTCAACAACCTCAACTTCAACATCCGACCCGTTTGCCTGGCTCCTAATGCAAGCTCAAATACTCTGCATATGATTCATTCGCTCTGTTCATTACACTCTGAATCTATGGAACTCTTGCCTTGTATATGCTTAACGTTAAACTTCTAACCTGCTATAACTTCAAAAGTTATGTATTAACCACCTGAAATGTGTTTAAGTTTAAATGCTATTTCTGGAAACCATTGGATAACAAGACAGGCAAGCCTCAGATTGGATGACTGACAATAGATTCACAGAAGAGACTTGACTCTGGGGGAATGTTCAGACAAGAGACTCACAGAGTGGTGTTGATTACATTTTTTTAAAACAATATAATACTGAGACCTTTGCAACATTTTTTTAAACCCATTCAATATGGAACTGGCTCATTGATAAGCTGAATGTAATAGCAAAATAAATAAAATCAACATTGATTTATGTACTTTGAAATTACAGTTGCAAGTGAAAGCAACTGCAAAAGAACCCTATTCTTTAACAAAACTCTTGCGAAGAGAGGACGATTCAGTTTGGGTCACAGAATGCTAATTTTTACTGAAACATTGGGAAATAGCATACGTATATACGATCATTGAAAGGAATCACTTATCAATTTATTATATTCTAAAACTGAGCTTTAAGTGGATTACAAGATTACACTTTTGGTTGCTGGTAATTTGGGGTAATGTGAGTATGGCTGCCTGTTGCCCAAGGAGACTACTTTCATTTTAGGATTTAAAGCTTTCGTGACTGCAGGGATTCATATTCTTGGTTCTTTCGGTAAAGTCACATAGAAGGGAAACAATAAAATAATAAAAATATATCTTCTTTGGTTCTTTCGGTAAAGTCACGTAGAATGATAATAAAATAATAAATTGATAAAATAAAATAACACAATAATATTCTCAATTTATTATTTTATTATCATTCTACGTGACTTTACCGAAAGAACCAAAGAAGATGAATCATTGCAGTCACGAAAGCTTTAAATCGAAAAATAAAAATATAAAACAATAAAATTCTCACGACGTTTCGACTGCAACACAAGCAATCATCATCAGGTGTGAAAACCACAGCAAGAAAATGTTTCCCTTCTACGTGACTTTACCGAAAGAACCAAGAATATGAGACTACTTTCATTCGCAAAATCAGATTGGTTGAATTTGTTCTCTGAAAATATAAAAGTAAAATGCAACAAATAAAGTAGAACCCCTGTTAACGACAGGCCACCATAGAGCCCAATGTGTTCGCTTACCAACCATTCCCCTGTTAACGATGGGCTGTTGTAGTTCCAGTAAATATAAATTAATGCATTTATTAACCATATTTATTTTAATACTATGTGTTTATGTTGTTAGTACCTTCCTACTGTACTAACCAAACCAAAGCCTGCAAATCATGAGTTGATAACCTGTGAAAGGGTTAAGTTAATTTACATATCCTGGATGCAAGTCAAGCTTTCTGCTGGATGATGCGATAAATGCTTGCCAACGGTGCCACAATAGAGCAACAGCGCAGCCTTTTCCCAATACTCAAATTTTCGTTGACGGTCTCCTCTTATGTGTACTCAAAAAGTGCGCTAGCAACATGAAACAGCTATTTGTGCATTCCATGTTCCCGTTCCCTTAGCTGGAGTCTGTGTTTCATGTAATGAAATGGTTAGACTTGTTAATTAAATATTGTTTAATTAATACAGCGTCAAATTTTGATTTAAAGCTTTCGTGACTGCAGGGATTCATATTCTTGGTTCTTTCGGTTTTCATACCTGATGATGATTGCTTGTGTTGCAGTCGAAACGTCGTGAGAATTTTATTGTTTTATATTTTTATTATTTTATTGTTTCCCTTCTACGTGACTTTACCGAAGAACCAAGAATATAATATAGCGTCGTCCTAGTATTATATTCTTGGTTCTTTCGGTAAAGTCACGTAGAAGGGAAATTATACAATAATAAAAATAAAACATAATAAAATAAAATTCTCACGACGTTTCGGTCACAATGCAAGCAGCCATCCTCAGGTGAAGAAACAGAGCTGTCGGAAAGACAGTGTCCTAATGAACACTGCTAAGCTTGGCAGCGTATTTTAAGCTGGGTGGGAGGAGGCGAGTACCTTGACAAATGAGTTGACACATCAACAGAGGAATTTAGCATATTGTCGTCGTAGTAATTTCCATCTCAGACAAGCTAAACGGCAACCAGGTAGTGAGCCGGTGTCAACAATTACCCAAGATCTGCAGTCCTCTATGTATTTAGATGTTTTTAGCCAATTAATGTTTTTATACATGCGGGAGGAATCCAGAGCACCCAGTAAAAACCCATGCATATGAAGGAAAAACACTATCCTAAAGAGAAGGGGCAGATTATGTTTGTCCGCACATTGCTGTACTGCCTTCTTCTCGAAAGCCAGGGCGTGTGGCACCTCGATGCCCACGGGAAGGGAGTTTTGCAACATTTGTGCAGTGATCCACAAACTCTCGCTGCCTCCACAGTCCTGGGTTCGAGGAGGGCGCCACCACTGAAACGCATTCAAACAATGCCGATCCATATTTATTGTAGGGTTAGGCAACGTGGTAGTTTTACGCCAACATTCTTGTCATTAATTTACTGATCAACTTCTGACCAATACAATTTCTCGCTGGAAGCTTAATACTATTCATTACTGAATTAAACATCAACATATGCCATGCTTCACTCCAACTGCTTTGAGCTTCATCAGGTAATGAACTCTGAAACCGAGCGAGCCACCTAATGTGAATCTGTGCTTGAGTATCTGCCAAAGCATGTCATTTCTTTGTAATTTGGGCCTGGTTACTTTTAATGTTCATTATTTCAAACTACTTCAAAGAAATACATTTCAGTGGTCTTTAACAGACCTCTGGTTCAATGAGCAACTTTAAATACATAAA